CAAATTTTTTCAACTTTTTCTCTGTGTCTTGTCCCACCAGACGGGAGAAGACATCCTTAACCCCTGAATGCGGACTCCTCACCCGAACCCATCCTCGCTGAGGAAACATACCCCAGACACGAATCACTGTCTCATCTGGAGAATAGAACTGAGTAACGTAATCCTTCGTGGCGAATTGAGCTTCTTTCGTGGAAGAACTAGCCTCACCGGCGCGGCGAGCCTTAAATGTGATCGCTGGATCATGTAGGAGCGGTAGGTGTGTAATGCTCTTGCGACAAAGTTCAATTGAGCAAAGCTCATGGGTACCGATCAAACCCACTGGTAGCTTGCTCGAACCTGGCTGAGAATCCCGCCCACAAGTCGTGTGAAACCATTGATTACATTCGCCATGTATCACAGTGGCTCCAGTCCGACCACAGACACCACAAGTTTCTTGGGCGTCAGGACGGTATATTGCCATGCGACCGATCGGAATGGCCTGCGGAAATATTGTTACGGTGTCTGCGGTGCTGAGGATGATATGGTAAGGTGGTTGGGACGTAGATGGTAAGATACCACATTCTAAGAACTCCGACCCTCTTTTGCCGGTCCCAACATCCTCATACTGAATTTCAAGGATTCCGATCTGCTTGATTTCAATTGTGCGATCTGTTCCGTCCTGATGGCTGATCGAGATGTTTATAGGTCGCACATCTCGCACACCTCGCACAAATAATACGTTCTGGTCCACTAATGATAGTGTGAGACAGTGTTCGGGAAAATATCCGGCCATTATCGGTAGCACTTCGCCGGGTGGTTCCAAGTAGCGAGCTTCAACTGATCCTGCTAAGTCCATAACTAAAGAGGGCGAATATGGAGAGGGACTATCAGAAAGAGAACGGTAGAAAGAGGTTGCAAAGGATTCTTATTCTTTATTAATGCGTTCCAGACGTCGGCTAGACTATATAGATGACTAGGGAGCTGTCTAAGGTCAAGGAATGAATCTCTGGTGGCTGGTTTACAGCCTAGCTTTTGATGCAGGGACGTGAAGGTTCAGTAATCTTGTTTATCAGGCCAAGCCTGTTCTCCTGACCTAATTTACTACGACCCCTAATGATCACTACTCTAAGTCTATTCGTAACGTTGATTTCCTGCCTGAAAAATCCACTAAATATGAGTCCTTCGAAGGGTAAGATAATGAAATCCACAAAGTCACAGTGTCGACAAACCAAGCATGTGAGCAGCGCCTGTGAGACTTGTAAACAACATAAAAGAAAGGTATATCGCTTGATCCTCTCAATAAGTTTTACATCTAACAGTGAGCCAGTGTGAGAAGAAGCGGCCATGTAATCAATGCAAAAGCGCGGGACGAGAATGTAAAGAGCAACTTAAGAAAGACCTCAGAGGGAAGGATGCTCGTCAAGAAGTGGCGAAGAGAGCAAAACGGATGTCTCAGTTTATGGACATATGCCAGCGTCCAAAGAGTCCAGAGTTCAAGGATCTCATGACGGTCCTCCACAATAAACCCACGTATGATGATGTTGATCGGGTTCTCAACAATACAAACAAGTCACAAAGATTGGCCGCGAGACAATATGAAATGTTCCGACATGATGACCGACAAATAATGTCGCCTGGCTACCAGCCTGACCGCTATGGGCATGATTTCCAGACAACCATTCCGCACAGGCACCCACATAAGAGTATGGGGGAGGATATTGAGCTGCGAGTGGACCGCCATGTGGAAAAAAAGAGTGATAAGCGTACTGGCATAGATGTTGGCAGGCAAAGGATCAGTATTCAGGCGCTCACACTCCCGTCCATGGCGAAAAATGTTGTCGGTCCTCCACACCTCATCTCTCCTCATTCTCATAAATACATTTGAAAGAACAATCTGCGAAGGATATCTGCATCAGAAGGATCGAAGCTTGGAATGTTGATGGCTGTCTTTATGTATGATGGTGAGGATCCGGGGAACAAAGACAACCTTTAATGGGAAGGCATTCGGTGAAATACTTTCGTATCCGTGCTATATAGCTAATTGTATAGCTGTCATCGAATTCAAAAAAGGACTTCTCTTGTGTACATGGAGGTTGGTTTGAGGATTGCGATGACGCAAACACCGGAGCGCAGTGAGCTGGTAAGAGGGTTGATTCGTGCTTTGAAGGATTTTTCATCGGGGGGGCATTGCCAAACTCGGGCATTCTGCAGGCGGTTAACAATGAAGATATTTGGGAGGGCCGATGAAGACTGAGAGATCGTTCTGGCGAGCGACGTCTTTTATGTGTTCACGCCGACTTGAGAAGGCAGAATGCACGACAAATATGATGGGTCAAGACTTCTGTCTGCCCGTTGACAAAAGTAAATATAACGTGCACCGCTGTCGAGGGTCACGAGCGCCACCTCAGCATTTCCCTGCGCCCAAGACAAACTTTAAAGCCTGACTAATGGGACAGTTGTGACGTATTCAACAGTATCCAGGAGGTTCTGGCATCCCATTATACGGAACTTATGTTTCTTCCAGGCCAGTCGGCGAAGAGATAAAGACACCTTTTGTGAGCTGATGTCTGTCTCTTTATGCTAGTGCCTCTTTCAATTGAGAAGACCAAAGTTCACGATACATCCCATCTTGTGCCATTAACTCTGAGTCCCCGTGGAAGGAAAAAGAACGACAACCACACCGGCCAAGACATTGGTCAGAAAAGACTCAGCATTTCGACGTCGACGAACGGCTCCGTAGAGATGTGAATCCAACCTATTTCTTTATCTTCAAAAGTTCTCGGTGTAGTTGTCTCATGTCTCCACTTAGCACAATGTGCGACTCCTCTAGTTCTTCGCAGTTGAAGGCGATCTCTGTTTCGTGATCCCCACCAAGGATACAAAGCCACCTACGTTTATGTGTCGAAACCCATCCGCGGAGGACACCAGTATAATGGTTGTTGTTGAGGCGCAAACCAATCAATGCTCCGATGGAAACCAGTGGCAACATAGCAAAGTATTCTCTCATCTCACCCTTGTTACGCCGGTCAATGGCAAAGTATAAGAGCCTTTTCTTTAACTCGGCCAATGCGTCGACGTACTCCTTCGGAATGCGTGTACTATCCATGCCACTAAGACGGTACAGCACGAGGACCGCCTCCTCAAGAGATATCACGGGCATTCCAAGCATTCCAAGCTGTCGAGAATAATAAACAGCATTCGTCTGTGATTGAAAGTGTGCAAGCCATTGCTTATCACAAATCTCAATCACCGGCAGCTTCGAAGATGGAAGGGAAGTGATGGTCAACGGAAGTTGGTTCGGGAGTTGGTCCAAAAGCTTGAATATAATGTCGTCTTGGGTTTCTATTGGGTCGTCCATTGCAGCAAATGTCGTCACTTAATTAGACCTTGTGCTGTACTCCCCCAGAATCTGTTCGCGGCTGGGGCTGGGGCTGGGCCTAACAAACGACACGTTGCCAATTGGGTCTTTATTGAGCCGCAGTAACTTGAAGATCCCGGACGCTCCTAGTAAGCTATTGCTAGCTAAGAGTTGAATCTTTATAAGTGAGCAAGGGAGTGGTGTCTTGAAGATCTGACTGACCGTGCGGCACAATGTCTCCTGTTGATTGAATCTCTGTTGTAGCCCAAAGACGATAAAAGCTAAGACGGTCAAAAAGATCGACCGACTTAAATCATAGGACAACATGAGGCGAACGTAACGTCGTTCTCGTCTTGTAATTGACAATAATGTCCCGGCCCAACCACTCCGAAAAAGACAACAAAGAGAGATGGAAAGGGTGAAGAGCAGTGGGCTAATAAATGTAGCCTGTCTGTGTGGGCGGTTTGTTAGTGCCATTCGAGTAAGTCATTGAAGAGGAACCCTCACAACACTAATGACAAGACCAACGAGGATGTGAGCAGGCTGAAAGCGATGAAGGATAAAAAAATTGTCACGCCTCGGACTGTTGTCCAGTCGTACGTGATACAGAAACTTGAAAGGTCACACTCCAGGTAAGCGTATGCCTCAGCAGCCTGTATAATCTGTCAGACTGTTGTCCAACGGTGGAGGGAAATGCACTCACATCCAGAAAATAAAGGGAAAAAAGACACACGCGCGCAACAATGTGAACAGCGTGGGGCGGAGCCTGAGGGATGATGATGGTGAGGGCAATGCCAACAAGTGTTTGGCAAGAGGCATTCAAAAAACAAAGGATAGGGGCGGCGCGCTTCAGCTGCAACTTGGTGCTAGCTGCCACGAGAAACGGTATGGTGACAAATACGTTGACCACGCTGCAAAGCCACGCGGGATCTTTCGTCGGAGCTGTCATGATACTTGAGCTGTGGGTGAGCGACAGAACGAATGAACAGAACAGAGGAAAAAAGGCAACCAGGCAACGGGTGGACATGCAGGAGAAGGGGCTTTTATCTTCTGGACGTGCTGCTGAACGTGTAGAGTCGAAGCGCTCAACTCGTTGTCTCCACAGCGGACCTGATGTTGGAATCATAATTCAGGAGCTCAAGATTCTCGATGTTTATAAATTTCTTGATCTCACATCTCGCCTGCGCACTCTGATGGTGACAAGGAAGGGCTTCTTTGCAAGTGCATCTCCGTTCTACGAGACAGGACAGGGACCACCCGACCTAACTCGCGCTCAGGAAATCAGAAGGGGAAGGGCCTCAGGTCGCTCGACTCGATATGCCGAGCGCCCGCCCTGCTTTGCTTGACCTTATGACGAAGTGGCTAGGTAGACGACCTTTGAGGTCGCATTAGCTCCAACCCTGGTTGAGAATAGGTCAACCAACCTAGTCAGTTGTGCTTCCGTAAACGAGATCTCCACTTTTTGTGTTCTTTTCAAAAACCACACCAAAAGTGGGACCAATCCTCGAGTGTAAACTGCCCGAACCGACGCAGGAGTCAATGCTGTGACCCTCTGAGCCCTCAAGCACAGTCGATTTTGGCCCGTGATCATGCGGTCTCGGCAGAGTACTTGCTGCCCGACTATGTAATATGACAAGACTATTCTGTCCTGCCGTAGGGGAGCCTATCAAAGCTACAAACACCATGAATGAATCGTTTGGAGAGGTCGTAAAGTACATCCCAGACGACGAGGTCGAACGATTGCCTGAATTGATTACAAGAGCACAGCAACAGTTGTTCGATGTCTCAGTGACGAAGACAACCCGCTATCGCTTCTGTCCACCTTATGAGGGCCATTATGCCTTTGTTGATGTGGTGGTGCGCCCATTCAACCAAGTGTCGTACCCTTGCTTCAATGTTATCGTTGAATATCAGCTTTGCTGCACCACTGTTGATCACGATAGTCATGCCAATGACTACTTCAAGGTGAAGATTCAGGAAGTCTACGACACTTATATTCGACCTGTCCAGCGCAAGTTCGATGATGGCTGGTAGGGTGGACGCTCCGTGAAGACATTCTTTTCTTGGGCTGACGGGAAATAGCAGAACAAAATTCCCTCCTCCGTCAGATCCGTCGAAGACTTGCTTAGAGAAGAAAACACATTATATGTCGAGAGCGGAGGAGGCCACAGAATCTGATTGTCCTACTCCAGTCGCCACCCATGGCCTAGCATCCGCCAACCTCGAAGTTGGAACTCGGCACCAGAACTCTCATAGCTCGCAACTTGCTGGAGGTGCGCTCCCGTTGACTGCCACAGATGGCCACTTCAACAACAACAACAGAGGAGCTGGTCCTAGTCGTGTCAAACTTACAGATACTATTCTCAAGAAGTTCCAAAGTGGACAAGATCAAATAACGAAAATAAAGAAAGGCAAAACCGCAAAGAGGAAAAGAACGAAGGTGCCAATAGACCCATCTCACCCGGATGGATCGCAAGAGGAGCCAACAGACACATCTTACCAGGATACATCGCAAGAGGATCCAACAGACACATCTTACCAGGATACATTGCAAGAGGATCCCATTGAAAACGTGATCATGCGCATCGATGCCATGCGTCTGGGGGACGATCAAAAAGGTCAGAATATCTCCGAGACAATTTTGAAGACATTGGAAGGAGGGTTTATTGAGCTTCATGATGGCGTCCGTAGGACCAAGTGGCTAAGTTGGTATTTCGCTGGATGCTTCAGCCTCTGCCAGCATAAAATGGGCCTACAACCAGCAAACAAACGATTGGACCATCGCGCTGATGGAGTTCAAGTCCTACATCGAATCGTCAACAGGATGATTCAGTTGAAAGGCATCCCTGGTCTGATGATGTTATGTGCTGCAGCCGGTAATATCCTTGAACCGACCCCCAGTGATCGCTCTGAGCTAAAGAAGATAGAGAAAGGATTCTATTTTTACCATGCCGGACGCATCTCCGGACCCGAAAAAGTCGAGTTCTGTCGCCAGGTTGCTGAGGAATTGTGTAAATCGGAATTGAGTGCCCTTCCGCAAGCCCAAAGAATACCTTGCCCGACGGTCTGGATCAGCCATTTCCTGCCCGATGTGAGGTGTATATTTCCGCTTATTTCCTGATGAGGTCCTTGTGAGATCCTTACGCTGATGATCATTGTTGGTCTAGTCACAAAGAGGCCTGCCGCCTCCTTGAAATTCCAGAACTCGGTCGGATACCACTGAAGACCGTCCTAATTGACCTTCGGAACGGACATTCCATGCCTGAGCAGACATATCCATACTCCTTCCTCGAAGCTGAATGGAAAAAGCACTCGTCAGGGAAATCGTTACCTTCACAAGAGGAGGAAGCCCCTCAGATTGAAGCTCCACTCCCAACAGAGCGGGCTGAGTCTCCTAATGTCCCCGGTGGAGAGGCCGAGGCGGAAGAACAGATGGACGGTCTGTCACTCCTCATCTTCCAACACTAAGCACTAACGTGAGACAGATGCGTCTGTGAGCGCCCCTACTGAAATACCCAGTGGTTATGACGCCAGTGATTCTGAGCCTGAGGAGCGGCGGTCTAAATGGTGTCGTGTGGAAGGTGCCTGCAGAGACATCGCCGCAGACATTGAACACGTTAACCCCGAGTCAAGTTTTTCTCAAGCCCTGACTCCCGGTAGGGACGGTGCAGACGAGTTTACCAACGACCAACCTACCGCGGACAACCTTATTCCACATGAACTCAGACCCTTTGCACCAAATGCATTCGCTGATTGTGGAGAACGCCATTCAGGGCATCATGCTGGTGATCTACATGGACTTGGGTCGACCGCGCAGGACCTCATGGGGCATGAATCCTGCCGCGGAAATGACGTCCCTGGGATTCTGAGGGACTTTGAACATGAACACAGAAGCTTGGACATGTCTCTGCTTCAAAATGACAATGGAGGATCGTCCAGTGTCCCTTCCGGCCGATATGCAGTCGACAACACTACCCTACCCGAGCTACCAAATGAGGTCGATTTTGACCCGCCAGGGCAAGATCAACTCTGGGAACGGCACGATGAGAATGGAGATGCCGATTCCACATACATCATTTCTCGTTGGGATGCCTGGATCGACTATTCGGAAGACTTGAACTTCAGTGGTTATTCATTGCCGCTTCCAGACAGCTTCGAATCTCTATGATAGGATGAGCCGACAATGGTGGTTCCACGCCGTCTTCAAGCGCCTGCACGCTCTGCAGGCCCATTAAGCGGTCGAAGGCAACGACGTTGTATCTGAATCCACCTCATACTCGAAGCACATCGCACCTATAATACCCTTCTTCATGATCACACGCTCAGGTCCATACATGGCCAGAGTATCACCCGGCTGCAAGTCAAAAGGCTCGAAACGAGGATTGAGGCCGACGTCCGAGATCCGACAGATTGCGGCCTCGAGCGGCTCGGTCAGCTTTTTGTGGAGAGATATTTCTTCACCATCAACAACTTGCCCAGGGATTGCCTCACCGCCAGCTGCTTGCTGGGGGGGTTCTATACCACCAACAACTTGCCCCTTGGCAGATGGATGGGGAATAACCTTGGCAACGAGCACTTGGTTTTCCCCTGGTTTGAATCCTCGAGCGCTGTAAATTAACTTCATATTGGTCAAACGCAGAGAAATTCCATGCTCTTTTCGATAGTAATTGCAGATAATTGAGTGCTTACGAATGGTTAGTAAATTTCACCCTACGAGGGAGTCGTTCTCATCGTACATCATCTTCGTAGTAGCGTCGACAGAATAAAGCCGCCTCCGGGTAGTCTGTCTCCCATTTAAGCGACCTAAACTCCCACCAGTATTGCAGATTCCCTTCAGAATCGCGTGCTCGGACCAGGTCTTTGGTGAGCAGGACCACTTTTTCAGCAATTTCCCTCAGTGCCTGGGTACCTCGAATAATTGGCATGTCTTCAACGCGGAAAGGAGTAGAGAAAGTCAAGGCGTCAGCTTTACTCTAGATGGACACTGAAAGGGTCGTCGTTTTATAGTCCAAGCCTGGGTGTCAAGATTGGAAGGGTACACGTCCAAGGAATGAAACAGTAGTCAAATGACCACGAAAGGCGTGGTTTTGTGAATGGAGCCGATTTTACGGACACGTCACACATTGCCCACTTGACCATGATTGGCTATGCTCAAGCAGCGCATTCATCGAGGAGGGACAACTCCCAATAGGGAGAATAACTTGCTGCTTTGAGAAGTGATTCCAGGTTTGGTTGTCGTGCCATATGCCAGCACAAACTGTCCATTCCGCGATAGGTCCTGCCTCCCTTGAATGAATGTTGACGAGATTTACATATGTTGTCATCCCAAGAGATCTCTGCACAGTCTGTTGTAATTGCAAACCACAGATGGTATATCGGTGCACAGAGTCTGACACGCGTCTGACACGCCTCCTAAATCTCTGAGATATGCATGCAATTCGATACTCCAGTCACTAGACAGTCTCCGTTGATTTCAAGCAGCTCCTTTGACGAGACGGGGATGCGCAACCTAGTTACCGCTGTTTCCACCATTCGGTCTCAGGAGGCTTTCGAGTTGCAACGCATTATCTTCATTAAAGTCTAGTTCTTCAGCCTTATCAATGTCTTCCTGAGTAAAAGTTACCTGGGACTTTAGACAATGTTCAGTACTGGACCTCCTGAGTTTAATGATGCAGTATTATCGACAGAGAATAACATTGACAGTAATAGCATTGACGATAAATGGCTTGCGGGCCGTGGCAGGTCGAGGAAACAGGAGTATGAAACGAGGCTGATATCAGGCAGAGATGAAAGGTTCTGCTTACCTCATCGGCGATCCCGTTCGTGTTGGAGGCAGCATTGTTCTGATGTCCAGTTCCAGTATTGACGGCTGAGGTGGCAGACGCTGCTTGATCATCTTCCTTCTTCGGTTGTTCCCGAGGAGGAGAAGGTCCTCCGTTGTTGTTTTGACTTGCCGACATGGTGAAGACGAGCTTTCTCGTTAGGAGTTGATTGATAGATCGATAGATCGATTGATCGATTGAGGTATAGAATCAAAGTCTGCTGGGGAATGCTGACGACCTTATATTTGCTAACAAAGCTCGGCTTCGCGCTCGACGTTTCGGCTACTTTTGCGCGTCCCTTGATCAAGATCGCAGGTACCTCGGAACGACCAGCGCAGACCCTTGTTGAAGACTATCGATGCAATGCCATCGCATCCTGGCTTCATGTTGCAGATTTATGTCAAGAAGAGAGAGGTAGCAGGCCATTATGCGACCTATGTTGACGGGTCGCAGTGTCCTTGGAAGCGCAGACTGAGACATGACCGTCTCGATAACGCACTGAGAGTGTTTCTTAGCCTGCCTTGTAGCGCAATGTTTTCAAGGGTATGCATATTATGCCCCATATTACAGGAATACGTACCTTCTGATCTCCGGGGCTAATGGAGCCAGTGATTAATTTTCTTACACAATGATTCACGGTCCTAGCTAAAGTTGTGCTGCTGGTACTGCAATTAAGGTGCTTGTCCCAATGCAAACGACTTGTCTCTGCTGAGTGAGCATGTATGACCAAGACAAAGAAGCGCTCTGCATTCCTCATATACAGGCGACGTCACTCATACCACCTTCCACACCATTGCCCACACCACCTTCCACACCATTGCCCATACCACATCCCATACCACCTTCCATACCATCTTTCATACCATCCCACTGATCGTGGCCGATTGGCGCCATAGTGTGTGCGCGTAGTGGATTTAAACCCGAATGCCTTGCGTTTTGTCTTGTATGCTTCGTAGTACCAGAGCAACGGTGAAATAACAAGCAAAATGACGACCACGAAAGTTGACTTGTTGACCTATAATCACGCCAGGAAGATCCTACGTTATCCTACATAGGCTTACGGATCACGGAGTTCACAAGAGCCTGTGGTTTTGACCAGGTGACATGGGACATCAACCACGCACTGTAGTATTGGATCTGCATAGCTGGACGTGCCATTCCTGATACACAACACGAAAGCCAAACACTTTTAGCATTCCAATAATTAATCCACCTTGATTCAAATATCGTTCGAGTGTTAAGTCAGCGAAGGGCTACATGGTCGACCAGTCAAAGAGCGCCAAACTTCGTTTTCTACTAGTGGTGGTTGACTTATGGATAGCTTTGTCTGATCAGTTGGACTGTTTGCTCAGGACTGCTATATGCCACAAAGGAAGATTGTTGCTGCCCAAATCCGAGGGCATACCCACCGTCCCTTAGGCTGAAATGGTAGCAGGATGAGCGTGCTACTAGAGCCAACAACGCTGGATGAGTCACGGGACCAATAACCCCGCTGTTCATATTCGGAGTCATCAGCGCAGTTTCACCAACAAATCCATCATTTTCAGCAACGATGATGATGCAGTTTTGTAACTTGGCGACGTTTGCCACGTTTCAATCGCCTACAGTGCCTTGAAGCAGCAAAGTTGCTCACACGCGATATACGAACATCCTGTTGCACGCCACTCTGTCCTCCATATTGGCACAAAGCCCGAACGACCCAATTGTTGACAGTCCTCTGAAAGCAATCGAAAAAGCAAGGCCTCTCAGACAAATTCTCGATCTTTCCTATCTCAACAAATTGCACGAGCGGAAGGCGGTCGCAGCCGTCGGTATTTGGACAAAATTTTGATGGTAAATCGGTTCAGCTGAATTTGAGGCTTGACTTAACATCTCTTTAGGCTTTTGAAGCTCAAGAGCTCGATAAGTCAATAGATTTTACAAGGGTGCCAGAGAATACGGTTAAAATGTATGAAGGCAAGGGTCAGATGATATACTGGATGGGGTGCAATGTTACTGTCTACGAGAACGATAAGGAAGGGAAACAACAAACAAGGTTGCTGAAAGGGATGCCAAATGGGCAAGGAAATGTACCATTAGGCACTAAACTGTACCTTACCAATGGAAAATGGAAAGAAGGATAGGACACTAAGCAAATTATGGATTGCATTTTATATATACATCTTATTCTGTAGCTGAAGACCACGTTCAAGTCCTAGCGACAAATTAATAATAGCCCCCTTTTTGGTAAATATCATGGAGACACATTCCGTAACATGCTTCCCTTCAGCAATTTCTCTCATGTGGACAGGGCATTCCGTGATGGCGCTATATATTTCAGTCCCAAAAATCTTTATAATAGTCTCGTCACTGACTCCTTTCACGGTAGCTTCGGAGTTAGGTATGATCAATGTTATGCCTTCGTGGAGAACAAGGTGTAGTACCTGTTCAACCCATTTTATTTTTGCACCGAATAGTGCCATGGCAAGTTGTTCTACATACCGCTCGCAGATATCCAAGCTCATGAGACAATGGACTGGGCCTCCCCAGAGTGGGAACGCCATCGTCACCGCAGCTTTCGAGTCCCCCTCGACTCTTCTGATTGCACCACATAGGTACTCATTAAAGACACTCGCTATCCCGTAGGGGGTAGCATTTTCGATCACTCGCTGTTCCTCTGCACTTGGAAGGTCGGGATCATTTGAGATGGAGTCGTATAATTGTTGGTTCACCGGCTGATTGACAGAACGATCTTGGGCAATCAATGAGGTTTCTAGATCTGATTGTAGTAAATACATAGTAGCTCGATGAGATCTGAAGCCATACCATTTTCCGAAAGCGGTATGTCGTACTGAGTCGCCAATTCATTGATGTTAGGAGGTATATCCTTGGCCTGAAGTTGATGGCAGAAATCGTCTCGTTCACGATCTTTCAAGTCCGTAATGCGGACCTGTCCAAGCGCGGCAGCGCAAAGGAGAACTACTCCGGGACCTGCATGGCGGAGAATTTTGTTTAGGAATAATCTATACTTCTGGCGTCTCGCAGTTCTTTGGATGCTTTTCAATATAGCCGCGGCTTCTGTTATACGTGCAATCTGTGATTTTCTCAAGCTTCCACGCAGGTTTATTTCATCAGCAGTATCAAGAAGTGCCTTCCAGGCTTGGGTTGAATCGAAGGGTGTTGGTACCATTCTTCAAACACGATGGTCGGAAATCAGATGGGATGGGAGATGAAACTGAAGTTGGTATGGGAGATGGGATGGAAGTTGGTATGGAAGATCGGATGGAAGTTGGTATGGGAGATGGGATTGGAGGTGGGATGGGAGATGGGATTGGAGGTGGGATGGGAGATGGGATTGGAGGTGGGATGGGAGATGGGATTGGAGGTGG